GGGTAGAAATTGTTTTTGGAATGTGAACAAAATGACAGCCATAGGAACCATAGATATAGTCACCCGTGTATAAAAGCAATCAGCTTTTTATAGTTTACACTGAATAGTTATTGCAGAACTGGTACGTAAAAGTGACAAAACCCTTTCTGAAATTAAAGGCTTGAAACTTAAACAGATGATCCGGACAGTATCACAATCCCTGGTTTATAAAGTGTTTTTGAATAATAGACAGACGAATACGCAAACTGCGATCAAAGCTGGCGGTGTCATCGATGCAGTGAAAAATGGACCCTATATCAAATATACAGTCGTGGATAAAACTACCGATCTGATTCAAAGGATTGTTGTTTTTTGTTTTTTTGTTTTGTTGTTTAACGCCGCACTCAGCAATATTCCAGCTATATGACGGCGGTCTGTAAATAATCGAGTCTGGACCAGACAATCCAGTGATTGACATCATGAGCATCGATCCACGCAATTGGGATCGATGACATGTATCAACCAAGTCAGCGAGCCTGACCATCCGATCCCGTTAGTCGCCTTTTACGACAAGCATAGTCGCCTTTTACGGCAAGTATGGGTTGCTGAAGACCTATTCTACCCCCGGAATCTTCACGGGTCTTCAAAGGATTGAGTTAACTGACTCTGGAAGTATGTATCTTTACATATCTGTGTAGTGTATTTATTTGTAACCCAGCAGGTTCAACAAATATGTATATGTGAACGGTTGTGTTGGGGATGATAAGTTTGTTGGTAATGTAAGTTGTAAGAATGTTGGTCAAGTAGACTACTGTATTGCAACTCTCAGCTCTTTTGCCCATATTATTAACTTTGAGGAATTAGACTTTGGCCTGTTGTTCTCTGACATACACTACGGTATATCCATGTCACTCACTAACCCTTTGTGAATTTACAACGACTGTAGATGCAGGCGTGAAACATATGGAACAAGACTTTAAATACAAAGTTTTAAGATAATAATTAACAATGATGACATCGATGGATTGGATTCTATGGCCACCCCTTCATCACCCGACATTGAACCTATAAAGGAGAAAATTGATGAACGTTTCATGAAGACAGATGAAACGACGATTGGTACTTATTTTAGATACTCTTCAAAGACCAAGACTAAAAGCAAAAGGCAAAAATCATGGTTTGGTAAAGATTGTACAAAAATGAGGGAAATGTTTTGAGGCTAAAATGTCTTTAAATATAGAAAGAAATAAAGTAGCGAATTTGCAGCGCCCAAAGAACAAAAGCAAATCGTATAAGAAATGTATGTTACAATATTCAAATTTGCAAAAATCGAAAAGGGTTAAGGACCCAAAATCGTTCTGAAAGATTCTGAAATCTGGGGTGAAGGGTGTGACACCTGGCAAAGAACCGACACTGGAGGAGTTATTCGCCTTCTATAGCAATCTGTACAATTACAAATAGGACTTCGTAGTAAGCCTGAAGGTTTTTTTTATCAAAAGCATGGATGAGAAGTTTCACTTGAATAATTCAGTCCCATAACACCAGAAGAAATATCACATCGCCTAAAAGCTAAAAACTAACAAATCATATGGAATTGATGGAATCATGAATGAACATGTTGTGCATCCCGTACAAGAAAACTTTTGTATATCGGTTACATTATATGGGGGCATTTTCCTTGAATCCTGGCTTGTCGGTGTCAAAAAAATATATATTAAAAAGGTGACCTATTCCAACCAGAAAACTATCGCCCTATAATTACTTTACTTGTGTAAGAAAATTATACACCTCAGTAATCATTAACAGACTTACCAACTTTATCGAAAGAAATCAGCTTCTTAGTGAACCACAAACAGGATACAGAAAGAATGATTCAACCACAGACAATATATTTACATTGTACGGCCTTATTGAATTGCTGTGAGCAAGGAAGAAAAATCTATTTGGTGCTCTAATTGACTTTAGTAAAGCGTTCGACTGTGTTAGGCGAGTCGGGCTTTGGCTAAAACTACTGTCCTATAATTTTTCTGGAAAATGTTTCAATGTTATTTATTATATGTATAGAACTATCAAATCATGTGTTCTTAGTATAGGAGCTGCTCTGAGCTCTTCTCGTACTCAATTGGGGTGCGACAAGGTGAAAACCTGACACCTTTACTATTCGCACCTTTTGAAAATTATTTAGAACAGTACCTAAAAGATCATACTTGTACTTCTTTGGGTTAAGTCCCATGTGATCTAGACAACCAGTTGCCGGACTTTTTTTGTTGTGGAAGCCTCGATGGCTTGTGTACTTGCGATTAGGTGCCTCACTCTGGCAGTGCGGGTTCGAATCCCGCATGGGACTCAACCTAGAAAAGTACGAGAATCTGTGCATAACTAAGACGTTGTTATCCCAAATATAACATTTGTTATATTTGATCACTTTCTAAATGGCGTATTCATAGCTTCGGCCATGGGAGCCGTGCCAATTTACACTTGTCAGAGGGGTATACAAAGTATGTGTTCTTGACAACCAGTTGCCGGACTTTGATTTTCGTGGAAGCCTGGGTGGCACAGTGGATTAGATCGCTGACTTTGTGAGCTGGCGATTAGGTGCCTCACTTTTGCAGTGTGGGTTCGAATCCCGCATGGGACTCAACCTAGAAAAGTACTAGAATCTGTACTTGACTAAGAAAGTGTTATCCAAAATATTACATTTGTTACATTTGGACACTTTCTAAATAAAAATTGTGAGTTGCAAAAGTTAGGTTTCGTTTTCACCAATTTGAAAGAATTCTTTTCATTGTTTCTTTTCGGTTTCTGCCCAGTCATCTAAAGCGCCGCGATTCGCTGTGCAGAGTTGCGTCCCTTGGGCACGCCAGAAACCTATGTTTGTGGGTTCGAATCCTGGTTCGCCCCGATTATGTTTCTAGGTTTGCCAGCACCATACCCGTGTTCGTGGGTTTCACCGAAGTGGTAAACGTCTGAGACTTGTAACACTTCGGGCTTTCCTCCCACATTAAGCTGACACGCCGCGATATAACTGGAATACTGTTAAAAGCGGTGTTGAACCCAACTCACTTACACTATTCGGTTTCTCGCTTTTATCATCCAAATATCTATCAAATAGGAATTTAGTGTATTTCCGAATGCTTCAAATTATCCATAGACCTGTCTAAATTTAAGTCTTGGCTGAGATTTGGTTACTTCCTGTCATTGATCTTATCTATAGCGCCTGGATTTTATCGATATATATTTTAAGTCCAAACATTTTGTGAAACTTCAGAGCTGTCTAGAAATAATTCAGTTTTGTCGAAATACTGTCCTAGTTTATGTTCTGTGTCATTTACGGTAATCCCATGTAAATTGGTATTTGTTATTATCATAATATGCTTGGAAATGATCGAATGCTTCTTCACCTTTTGGTCTCAAACCAAATATCATATTAGATATACATCATATCATATGATTGCTTATAAAACGTTCTTGTTCATTTATCATCATGCGACCAAGAAGTTATGCCCGTGTACGACTACAAATAGAGCGAGAGGGCATGGAGTACAACATATCCGGCTAATGGAAGGAGTAGTCAATAAAGGTAATGATATCTTGTTTAACGTGGATTACCGTGATGCACTTTGGGTGTCTTAAGCAGCCTAACACAATTCTTAATGTGTTATATTATTGTGTCCCTGTTAAAAAAGGTACATAACTAAGCACAGAAATATTTTCACAATATGTCAATTGGACTTTAATGTGAACAGATACTATTCTTGATTATATATCTTCAGTCATATTTACAGTGCAGGTCCAGGTTTCTGAGGGCCCTTGGTCTCCATGATACCTTCTGTAGAGACGACTCTCATGCGCGTCCTGATCTTGTTAGTCTCGTGGATTGATGCGGCTTGTCTGCTGAGAATTGCCCGCTTCTTCTTGGTGGTAGTTCTGTCTGAATACTGATCCCAGACACTCTCAACAGTGTTTTTGCCTCAAAAATTGCCTCTCTGTCTGACATGTACGCGAATGTAGCCATATTATGCTACGGGGTGCGTTGCGGTGAGGTGCGTTGCGGTGAGGTGCGTTGGGTCGATGTGCCTTCTGGTACTCAGAGTGAGAGAGTCAATAATTATGGTCACATCGGCAATATTTCAGCCATACCGTGACTGAAGCAATTAATACATTAAGAAAACAATAATTTAGACTTATAAAAAACTGTCAGCAAAGGACAGTTAAATTACTAGACTTATCACAGATATCTCTTTCTGGTACTCGGGCAGCGGAAGCCTGTGAACGACTTTAAAAAACATGTCGTCCTAGCTGGATTGAGAAAACCTCAGGGTCTTAACTAGAGCTTCACTTTACCTTTCACATCATACAGTTCTTATTTCAAAGAGGCAATTGGTGCTTGGATAAAGACTTTCATTAGTATGATAAGTTCGGATAGCCTCTACAATATCCTCTTCTGTAGCCATTTTCGACCAAGGCGATCGTTGGGACATATATTCAAATTCACAATATCAATAAAAAGTTTAAAGTCGTCCACATATTGCTCACAGATAGTTGCTGTGAGACGGGAGGGATCTTTCCAAGATGTCAATGTATTCATAATTCCCCAGTGTTACAGATAAGCAACGAATTTGCGTACAATACGCTAACTACATTTGTAAATCACCATGACCCGTTTGAGTTGCTTGTGTACAAATGTGCATTAAGAAATTAGATAATTCAACTATATATTTACTGTATATGTTACTTTTTCAGTTTTGTACACAACTGTTTTTGCAGAACTTTCAGTCTTACCAACTGAATGCAAGCATCGTGTATCAACGAATTCTACTAATGCACAAATGTGCAACATTTCGCTTAGTGTAACGTGCATCACAGTAATGAGGTTATGCAACAGACGGACACATGGTAATTAGACGTTTAAATCTAAAACAGAAGTACAATTAATCACAAAAAGGTCACTCATAGGTTTAGTAAATACCCAATTCCACCTAACAGAGAGTGAGAGAGTAATAATACACTGAATACCCCAATACATTTTAATACCCAATGTGAATGATAACATGTAAGTAATCGTTCAACAGCTCAAATATATTTTGAACCCTGGTCTCCCACACTCCCACACAATTACAAAATAACTGGCAACCCGGTGAAGTGAAGTGATTAAACTGATGACCTAACAGACACGTGTCAGCTTGCCTAATAATGTTTTGCTTAGACAGTCCCTTAGCCTTATGAGATTGGTGAGATCATATGAGCCTGGATGGCAAAGGACATCAAGAATATGTGAAAATAACGTTAACATGAACCCAATATTTCAAATGTTGGAAACATAATATCATCTTGCTTGAGTATCGGTAAAATGAGCAAATACAAAGTAATCAAATACATACACTTGATATCCTGAATGATACATAACTTTCTTAGGCATGTAACCATTTGAAACTTTACAAATTTACAAATGTTTCTCCACCTAAGAAATTTCCATATTTCAAACCCTAGTAATCTTACAAAGCAGTTTACAAAATAATGCTTGCACCGATTACAATTACGATAAATGCATAGGAAATACTCTGGTCAAGTATGTACTGGAGTATCAACTTTGGAACTCAGGCTTAGACATGTCTGCATATCATGACAGTGGTGCTGGTGCATACGGAAATACAGGATGATCATGTGCTGCAGCTACATATGACATGCATATCGGGAAACATATGCAAATCCGGTCATAGAACACCTTTCCTACTGTATTTGCGTTTGTTTCAATGGTGTAAAATCCGGCCTTTGGTCCTGTGATATACGTACATGTATAGGTATCGAATCTTCGTTCGATATCTCAAAACTGAATACACAGTAGGTATTTCTACTAATTGTTCTCTGATATGTTCATTACGTGGTATTGACTTTCATCATTAGTTTAAAATGACCATGTAAATAATTCCAGAGTATTTGTTTTTACGCAAGTAGGACATTGTGAGAATCTTCAGCTGCGTCTTCACTCAAAGACTCAAGTGGAATCAGCTCAACATGCGTAGGAGATGCACCTGTAGCGTCCTCGTCAAACGCGTTCCTGAAAGCAACGAATCTGGAGCTTCACAAATAAATATTTCAGTTGGATACATGTTCATAATACATTATATTTGCATCTCTTTCGGACAATATCATTTCAATCTAACGATCGTGATAATATTTGGATATACAAATGGAAGCAAGTTGTAATTATGTTAATGTCTCATTTACACAATTACGGTTTGCAAGTACATTTTCACTGTGATCCGTTTGCATCCGTTACATATATGATTACATATATATGATTAAATTCAAATCCAAACTCAATGTTTTACAATATTTAAATTTAACCCAGATAAATGACAGACTTACCAAAACCAAGCAACAATTCACATAACTGAAACCGCAATTTGACTAATAACCCACACCTTAGATTGAGTCTGCTACGTCCCTGACACAAAGACTGAAGTGATAATACTACTTACGTTCCGAGTATCTCAGCTTCCTTGATGGTTTCCGGTAGATTCTTGTACAGCGTTTCCGGGAGAAGAAGAGCCAAGAGGGCCGCCAGAATGCTGATACCCCCAAATATCAACATAGGGAGAATCTGGCTGAAACGTCCGGATATGTACATCGTCTGAAATGTGTGTATATTTGTTACTATTCTTGGTCATATGATGACGGAAAACAAAGTATGAAGTACGGGCCTTTGTTTATCTACAGATGATCTTTATGTTGTCCACGGTTCCCCAGTATTACATTATTAAGTTAAACATGGTCCCAAAGGATATTCACAGCTGTTGAAGAGGTACCCATTTTACTCCACCTGGGGCTATATTTCATTTTTTGGACCTTAAAAATAAATAGGAAATGTGTACAGTCAAAATGATTTTCCTTAACCTCACCAAGTTAACAATGTAGGGAGAAACTAGACTTCCAGCTCGACCAGACAAGGAACTCAGAGACATGCCAAATGTCCTGGATGTGGTCGGCATGAGTTCAGCTGTGAAGGTGTAGACGGCACACATGGCTGCAGAGGCACACGTGTTTCCGATAATGGCGAGGATGTTGATGACCAATTTGTCCGCTAATGGAGTGAAACAGTTGAGTGGAATTAGCAATATGACCTTCATGTATATTGAACAATATCAGATCATCGATACACCTGAAGCTTCAGTTCCACTTCTTCTTTTATATTTTGCCAATCCGAGAAGAAATTCCTATTCATAACCATGAATTAACAGGGAGGTGAGTGCAATTTTGTCTAATTGTCCTAATCCAAATTTTCCAATTGATTTTATCAATGAGAAAGTTCAGCACTTCATACGTATGTTTTGATGGTGAACATATGTTTTGCTTCTGACTAGAACTCAATGGCGTCTATTTTTGACAAACTGTCCTAACCTTGAAGATAGAGATGCAAATATATGTATATTTATTGTCACCTTCAGTTGCTAATTCCAAATGCATCAAGGAATGACGTTTTGTCCTTAAGTGTGTCGTGTATGAATGTGGTGTACAGATTGGTAACATTAAATATATTGACAGATTCAAGTTGGTTCCTTTCTGATATTGCAAAAATTCGAATATTGGTAATCCACAAGGGCTAGTAACACTTTTCTCACATGTTTTCTTTTAATATAAGAAATTCCTTCTTTGATGGATTATATAGTTAAGGTATGAAGCAGAGACTTGGTGTTTTGTTTGCATGGCCCTGCAATATATCTCTCAGAAAAAGAGGAATGTACATGTATTCAGGTTTTAGTGTCCAGCTAAAAGTTGATAGTACTGATGCGTCATACCAATATACGTTAAAAGATGGTACTTGTTGTTATGCTGTCTGGCACAGCGCAAAACAAGGACTGGTCGCCTCAGAGTCAGTGTACTTATGTGTGCATGTGTGTGTGTAAGAATCATGGAAGCGATGTCAACACCATTTCACTTCATGATGTCAAACACTGTATTGAGTCGATTATTTACAGATCACCGTCATATAGCTGGAATATTTCTGAGTGCGCCGTTAAAGTACAACCAAGGAAGGACTTGTATGTGGCAATAAAATATTATATAAATGTATATTCCCTTACCTCGTGATGGACGAAATAGATAACATGTTGAACGATGAATATGTTTCCTTCGTACGTCTTGTATAAATACGTTCAATGCATGTGCATATATGTGCATTCTTCAAAATAACACCTTAAATTTAGGTCCATTATTCATGCATACGCTTATAAACACGTTTGTGATTTTTGGTAATGACACTTACGTGTATCTGAAACTAGTACTGGAACCAAAGGAAGAATGCAAGCTGCTCCTGTAAGCGACAAAGATAGACATAGCAGCAACTTGCGACCAATGCGATCCATTAGGAAAAAACAAGAAATGTATGCAACAGCCTCTGTGATGATGAACAAGAGGAAGTTGAGGTAGATGCTACCAGAAAGGTTGGTGACGTTCATGGTGAGGCCATAGAAACCCATTCCAACTGCAAACCTGCAAGAACAATGACAGCTATCTTTTTTCTCACTATTAACTTTTGTCGCTATATAAGTACCACATTAACAGGCTTTTCACTCACTCGCACACACAGAGAAACACAGATGTTTACGTTTAACGTCATATAAAACATATCCAAATGGAATGTAATAACTATTAACAATCTCTTCAAACACTAGCAAACAGTACCCTTCACTTAAGGTCACATTATATGATTGTGCTTATTGCCTGTACTGGGCGGTTGGGTAGCCTAGTGGTTAAAGCGTTCGCTCCTCACGCCGAAGACCCGGGTTCGATTCCCGACATGGGTACAATGTGTGAAGCCCATTTCTGGTGTCCCCCACCGTGATATTGCTGGAAAATGCTAAAAGCGGCGTAAAACCATACTCACTCACTCACTATTGCCTGTACTGGCTGAATTGCTTTTACTAGTGTGTTTCTTTACTTTTAAAACTAGTTTTCATGTAATGTTATGTATAACCTATGATCAGAACTAATGTTTTAGGAACTGAATTTTAGGTACCAAATATAGCAGATGATCATCAGTCGGCGCATCATCACAGATGACTTCAAAATGTTCCAGAATGGTTCTTGAATCACCTCTTCCATTTGGATATCGACCTCATCAAGTATTTGTGGATCTATTTGTACTTTGTTCTTTTTCGCAATATTTGCAACTACCCCTTTAGCTTCTTCTCGTTTGCCATGTTTCAGAAGCCATCTTGGAGACTCTGGGATAAAACTGTGATGAAAAAATATAAACCTGGTTTTCAGAACTAAATGGACAGAGGTTATGAAGTTAGGAACAACTCGTAATACTTGTAAATGCACAATATATGTCAGTAACCAATTAAGTATTAAAAGAAGGTAGTGAAGCTAACGTTTATGTTCATATTTAGTAAAATAGATATACGTTTGAAACTTAAGTTATTGTTATTCGTTCATGTACACTAAAAATGGAAAAGATACATCATATTTGTTTTGTTTAGGTCAATATTATTCCGAGAGGTATCAACAATAGCATTTCTACTGTTTCACTGCAAAGTTCCATAAACATTGCATACTTTCAATCTGTATGTATGTGATTCATGTGTATGCACACCAAATTTCAATACTTACAATAAATAGGCAAAGACAACCGCAGGGACACTGACAATCAGCTGTCGAGTCTTCCAGTCCCTGAAGAGATAGGCCGTTAGAGCTGTGATCATGTTCCCCGCGCTCCAGAAGAGGTTCATGGCAACACCTGCCCACATGCGCTTAGAGGGGCCGACTATCTCCATGCCTGTTCCATACAAATCAAGTAAACACGTCCCATTTTAATTCTGGAAACCCAAAAGTCCAGAAACTCTACGCTCTTTGCCCAGTCTCGGTTAAAGGTATTTACAAAATTAAACATGCCGTTTTCATGGGAACATACCAAGGAAGAAAAAATGAAAAAAAATTGTTTAAAAACTCAATATTTAGACTATGTCGTCCATGGGCCTGCCCATGCATGGGCGAAGTGTGGCCCATGGGCCTGCCCATGGGCGAAGTCTGGCCCATGGGTAGGCCCATGGGCGAGAATATGTTCCTTTACTTAAAACTCATGTTTCGCAAATACATTTAATGTATTCATTCAAGTATCATGACACAAAATTTAATTCATTTTAACTTAATTCAACGATTTTATAGCGATATTGAAATATTTCGCCCATTGGCGAGAAAAAGGTTTGGCCCATGGGCGAGAATATGTTCCTTTACTTAAAACTCATGATTTTGTTTCGCAAATACATTAAATGTATTTATTGAAGTATCATGACACAAAATTTAACTCATTTTAACTTAATTCAACGATTTTATAGCGATATTGAAATATTTCGCCGATGGGCGAGAAAAAGGTTTTGCCCATGGGTAGACCCATTGGCAGGCCCATGGGCGAGAATATGTTCCTTTACTTAAAACTCATGTTTTTGTTTCGCAAATACATTTAATGTATTCATTCAAGTATCATGACACAAATTTAACTCATTTTAACTTAATTCAACGATTGTATAGCGATATTGAAATATTTCGCCCATGGGCGAGTATATGTTCCTTTACTTAAAACTCATGATTTTGTTTCGCAAATACATTTAATGTATTCATTCAAGTATCATGACACAAAATTAAACTCATTGAAATATTTCGCCCATGGGCGAGAAAAAGGTTTGGCCCATGGGCAGGCCCATGGGCGAGAACATGTTCCTTTACTCAAAACTCATGTTTTTGTTTCGCAAATACATTAAATGTATTTATTCAAGTATCATGACACAAAATTTAACTAATTTTTACTTAATTCAACTATTTTACGGCGTTATTAATATATTTCGCCCATGTTTTCGTCAGTCCCTTTCAAGCATCAACTAACTGTTTGCAAAGTATATTGTATCATGTGAAATATACTTTATATTATTTCATTACATTACTATTTAAAAAGGGCATTTGGTTGGATGTTTCCTTTAGTTCTACAAATTTCACCTGTTTTACATATTGTAGCGATCTTTAATGAACCCGGCCTTACCTCTCAAAACGTTTTGACAGTTTATCATACGAATTCATGTGCGTGTACTCCAATTCATTGGAATTATTTTCCACAACATTAAATTTTAGTTAGTTTCTATTTCATTTCCAATTTAATGTCCCGTTGATACATCAAACTGGGCAATTACGTGACACTAGGTATGCAATATACAGGTACGCGTGCGCGTATTTTAATGAAAAAAACTATTCGTCTTTTATTGCATAACGTTTGGCTGAATATCTTACATTCTGACGAAATCTCGAAATAATTATTTAATAACATGCGGTTTCGAACTGACCAGTGGGAAGGAATTATGTTTCAATGCGATTGAGGAAAACGTGAGTGAATATTGTGACACTAAAGCAACTTTTAACTGCATTGCCACTTTTGGTATGAAAATGGTAACAGTTCAGAAAAAACAACAGCCTTCTTATGATAATTCTCATTAGTACGTTGTATCTAATTACAGTGTCGGCCTTATTTACAGGTGATTCTACAATACCTGCTCTCAGTCAATTACGATCTACCACACCACGCGTGAATAAACAGTTATGCAGGTGTTGCTGTGGGCAAATACCTAGCCTGAAAATGTTTATTTTTTTTAGGATACATGTTTTACAAATGTTCGTTGATATGTGGATATATTAAGCACAAAGACAAAAAAATGTTTATGAAAGATGAATTAGTGCCTTGATATATTCATCGAGATGTGTATCATCGTTTAATGGGGTCATTCAATAAACGTATGTTTGGAGGAGATATCAAAGGAGCCGCCCAATATACACAGAGTCGTCCGGTGAACTACCACCCCACCCTGTCCATTAGGGTTATGTAATCGGTACACAAATATATTTGATGCGGTGTCAGTACGGAAGGAGTTTGAATTACGTCCGCCAGTTGCCACAGAAATCCTCAAAGTATAGAAACAATAAACAAGGTCAATCCGTACTAATTACCTAGTGACGCACGTAACAACGACTGTCAATAGGGAAAATGGTGAAAACAAATTGAAATAGATTTTAATAAAACATTATTGTACTACATAACTCGCAAAAGCGGTGCCTAAAATTGTTTGACCGTGTTATGTGTGTTGTAAACTGACGAATAGCAAGTAATTGTCATGCTGTACGCATGGTTCCATATACAAATTCAGTTATACAACCGGTATGAAACTGAGAACTGAGATACCAAGTACAACCTGCATTCACACACGGAAGCAATATACTTGTGTGTATGCCCTCTCCTCTAAAAAATGTATCACTAAAGTATTTGCATTGTAATAAATATAGTAATGATAAAACTTGGTAATTTGGTAGGTCTCCGACAGATATGATTTTCAGTTTTTTACACCTTTGATTGATACGGATTACGTACCTGTAGTCTAGTCACTGTCTCTAATGTATCTGCTTGTTAGAAATTTCAAATGTATTGTTATAGCACTGTTCCTAAAATACGGCAGTTTCTTTTATCGGGTATAAATAGATGATTCGTCTTGTCACGCAGTCATTTTTACTTGATCGAATGATTTCCACAAAAAATTACGGCAGAGAGTTTTGTATTTTATTATATTTTTAGAAGATTTTAGAAGATGCTTACATCACTGTATCTCAGAACGTAAAACTGATAACATTCAAACACGTAATTAGTACACAGTTAATTGTTACATATAATTTCCTGCATATTCCTTTTTGAACAAAAAGCCTTCATGTATATTGATATTGGTGTCCACTGTTAAAAGGGTATTAGTGCAGTCAGCCATGGTAAATGGAGAGACAATAATAAGGTGATTAATTATAGTCTGTTGCGGAATATGCGGTATAAGTGTAGTCATTGATACATATACACATTACACATATACAGATGAAATACACGATATGATGGAGTGCAAGAACAAATTAAGATATGGTTTCTATTAAAAATAATTATACGATTTTGGATTTAATTAGCATGTTTAAATTTTCAGGCCAACACGGCTGAGATACAGCATCGGCATACTCAACTGGAGTTGTTTTCTGCCGGTCGTAAGTTTATTGTTTGACTGAGCACACTCGTGTCGGGGTTGCGATATTTTCTTCTCTTTGTTGGCAGCCTGCCACCGGTCTGAATTTTGAGAAAGGTCTCAGCATGGGACTGTTAATTACTTCTTAATGATGTCTACAAGCTTACAAACTTGTAGATGTTGGGTGCGGTTAGGACCAAACTTTTTCAGCTCAGAGTGTTAGTGGTCCTGGAACCCATAGTGTCAAACAGGTTCTGCACAAAACGTCCATCAGATTCTACTGTTCAGCAACATTGTCACTGAATTTCAGAACTCTGGCATGATATAATAATCAAGGATTTCGAAGGTGAACGAGGGGAAAGGCAGACGCACGTGGATTTACCCTCAGGTTATTATTGTCTGGAGTTCACATTTTGGGGCATTTCATATACTAATTGAACAGAGTTCACCTGCACATGTCAACTTTAGTGATACAGACTGTAACCAAAAATGCAATGAGCCGCAGCTCTTAATCCCTTATAACAACGGTAACAACAACCAGGGTGAGGACACAGTAAGGTTAAACCGTGTCCAACAGACAATCTGAGGTGGCTATCTCCCATCAAGTCAGCTCTGTTTTTAAGCGCATAGTTATGTTTTTACATATTGAAATAAAAGGAATTTAAACAATTATATTTAACAAACCTACACATTACCAAATACAAAACTTTATAACCCTCTCTAGACTTCGTTCCAATTAACCTGGATCATTCAACTCGCTCGCGAAGGTCGTATGCGACTTTAAAGTGAATACGTCTACAGTGTACAAGTAACTTTTAACTGTATCATATATACTCATTATAAGCAATTATTTTCGTTCCTAATTCGAATGCGCACATTCTGAGGCTAAATCTGCAAAAGGACAGATAAAATATTTCTTGGTACAATGCAAACGATACAAACGTAGCGGCTGATAATAGAGACAATGATTTAATAATCTGCAATATATCAAGTGTTCTCGTTCAATCTATTGTACATATTGAAGTGATTGTAAAGTTTCAAGGAGTACTAAAATGTTGTGGTATTATGAATGTATTTAGAATATGAATAGCGAAAAACAGTCACCATATCGGATGTACATGTATAACTTGTCTTCCAACACCACGCTTGTGCCGAGGCCCATGGTCATAAAACTAATCGGTCCCATAAAAGGAGCAAATAGTTTCGCAGATACTTCTTGCTATGGTTCACTCACAATTGTCAGACGACCTAATCATCAGTCAGACCAGTCAAGTGTGACCAGCGTACCTGCCTGGTTTTGGCTCCTAATTACTGAACTGCCCAATACTTTCATACTGTGGGCAGAGTAAGCGGCCTCGTTGAGTGATACAGACTAACCAGATTATGATTGTGTTTGTAAGTTGCGTTTAATCTGTGTCGGGTTGCAGTTGTTTTATTAGTCAAGACTAGGGGTAGTTTTTTTTCAATGAAACCTTTTAGCCGTTGAGTTTGTTTTGCATTCATTTCATTAAATACATTGTTAGGTAGAATAATAACACGTTATATGGATAAAACATCTCCCTAATCTGAGTATAATCTCACATGTACTCTAAGTACCGTACTATATTACTTTGCGGAGACACTGAGTATAATATTTTAGTTGGCATTGTATGCTGTCTGAATGACTTTACACAAATCCCTGCATTTAATAGACCCGTGAAGATCTTCAACAAACCATTCTTGGCGTAAA